ATATATATATAAAATTTCCCCCAATAGGTATCAGTCCAACCATGCAATCCAAAAGGTGGCTCTGCATAGATGCCCAGCATATAGTTCACCACCTGAGCCAACCCTGAAGCAAGGCGCACTTTAGTCCTTCTGATAGGTTTTCTTTTTTGTTTAAAACCAAGCTACTGCAGCTTCAAGTATTTTGCATTACATAGATTTTTTTTATAAATTAGTTAATGTTATATTTTTCAATATTCAGACATATACTATAATATATATACAGTACAATAAATGCTCTCATTCTTTTTTTAATTTTTTTGATAAATCCCTGAGAATGTATGTTGACAGTCGCTAAGTTTCCACATGCACAAGCATTGTGTGCCATGCTTCTGGATGAACAGCACTGCAAAGCCACGTGGTCAGCCTTTTAACTATTAGTATTTCATTTGTTGGTTTGTTTAAATATGCTGAAATGTAAGGATGAGTTACAAAGGAGTAAAGCTGAATCCATTCGAGGTACTTATCACAGGATGGAGGTGTTTTGTTTGGTTTTTAAAGCCATTGCAATATATGTTTGTTTTTGAGGCTGTGAACGTATACAGAAAGAACAGGAGAGCAATGTGGGCTTTGCCACTTGACAACATATACTCAGTGTAAACCAAACCTTTTTTAACCTCTCTCTCATACAAAACAGAAAAAAGGAAAAAAATTAAAACACACAAACTTTCACAACATGACAGTTTAGTTTGCAAACTCAATATAACTATACACATATAATACCGGTGTGGCTCTGTTTCTTTAAGTTAAAAAGGATACAAAGGCAGGCTCAAGTAAAAACAAACCATCCCCTCCCACCCCTGAACCCTTCCATTCACACATTTTCATCAACCAAACCGCTCACGAACCAGCATCATCAGTTTCTTTTTGCCTTTGTAGATTTGTTTTAGGTTGTCAATAAACTGTGTAAACTGGATGTGACCATCATGAGCCATTAAGAAGGTCTCTCGGGCCTTGCTGAGGAACTCTATAAACTCACTATAGTGTCGCGGACTGATGTGAGTGAGGCGTGAATGAGTTGTATTAATGTAGGCTCCGATCGTGGCATCCAAGAGTTGCCGTAAAGGGGCTTTGTCCAGTGACATGAGCTTACCAGAGTTCCTCCTTCCATGAAGTCCCACCATGCCAGGAGTGGTCAAAGTACACCTACGCAAAATGTCTGACAGTACTGTTGCACATTTGACACTTTTGACCACCAGAGGTATTATAGCTGCTAGCTCATTTTTCCCAAGGGAGTGGCTGAGCGCACATGCCCACAGAACGTCATTAATGGCAGGGTGTGTGTCCTGATTGTAACTCAGGTTGAGATGTGTCATGGCCAAAGTGGCCAGCTTGTAGGCCCGCATGGGGTAACCACGGTGCTCCATGTATCGTGCTATAGTAAAAAGCTGTGAGTAGCTCATGCCGGTTGTAGCAGCATCTAGAACGATTTGGTAAGCGGTCTCAAAAGCTATGTGATCCTTTTCACATAAGGTCAGTGCAGAGAGGGCACAGTTTTGAGGATCCTTCATGGCACACTGTAGAGCAAGCGTCCTAGCACTGCTAGCCAACTTCTCTTGCTGATGGCAGTCCAGATGCAGACGGACGATGGTGCTGTTGGACATCACTGTCGTAGCAACAATACTAGTGGCTTCTGTTGGAGTGAAAAGTGTAAACCAGTTTTGCATGATACTATCCAGTGCATAAACACCTGGGGAGAGAAAGAAAGGATTAGCCACAATTGATAAAACCTAGCAGATACAGGTGTTCAGCAAGAGATTATTACATTTGCCTAAGTAAGAGGTTGCCAGTACATCCAGGGGGATGCTCTTCAGCAAGAAGGGCTAAAACAGATAGCATGGCTGGAAAAGGACATTAAAATAAAGGCTACTGTGCAAACTCTGTAGCAATCACCAAAATGCACAGAATAACAAGAAAACCTGCAAGGTAAGCTTTAATCTCCTGATGTGACAACTGAGCTGTTCTACTTGTTATTTAAGACAATTTGGATAACAAGTTCTGGCTCAGTTGGTCTCATCACATAACTCAGAAGCAGCCCTCACACTGAACACTTTTAAAAGGCAATTTTAAGTTCTTTTCTCACAGTGCATCTCAAGGCACAGCACATGCACAACAGAATATGGAAGTATGTTAAATGGCTTTCTTAATAGAACACCATGGTACACCCTAACAGAACACACTACGCATACCTTAAAGAAGAAAAAAGAAAAAACCCTAAGCCCCACCTCCTCCCAACAGGCTTTTCAGATACATCTTGTATCAAATTCATATGCACCTGAACGTCAAGATCCTTATTAGGGAAATACTCTGAGCAATATGGACTACTGAGTATTATCTGAAATAGGTTATCTTCCTTAGTGTCACTTTATTCCCGGCATGTGTGTTTGTGTGTGTTTGGCAGGGGGAGGAAGGGGGAAACAGTGGCTAATGGGTTCCATAAATTGAAACTCACAGCCAACTAGAGTGCCTTATTATTGCTAGAGGTAATTTACACACATCTGTGAGCCCACCTAAACCACACCCAGAGGTCCTCATTTTCTCTGTAGAACTCTGATGCTTCCTGTGTACCCCTTCACTCATGTGCAACAATTCAGCCTAGCCAGAGAATACCAGATCGGCATTTAAATAAACAGATTCCTTGCTTTACCACCTTGATTAATTCTCAAGAGTATTTTGTATGACATTATAAGTTCTTTATGGGACACTTCTATTAGAGTATGTAAACTAATTTAAAGCAGTATTAAAACCAGCATTTTATTTGCCAATATGCAACTGCACAAAATAATACCCAGGCACTAATATCTGTAAGATAGCCTCAGCAATAATTATCTTAACAAAGATATAAAACCAATAAAACAACAGCATTGCATGAAAATTTGCAGACAGACCACTTTCTGGCTGAGGGCATACAAAGGCAAACTGTATTTTCCCATGCTACTGACAACATTAATTTCCCAGTTAAGCATAAAGCAAAGAATAAACTAATCCGGAGAATAAGCAGCAGCAATCCTCTGAAGCTCTGAAGCTCAAGAAGTATTTATGTGATACAATCCAACTCAGATACACGAAAAACGAATAAATACAGTATGAAAACACACTTCCCAGAAATACCTTAGTGACAATTAAAACTGCTCCTTAAGTACTTATGTTGTCCCCACTATGACAGCTGCTGACTTTTTTTTTTTTTACAGCTACATAGTTTTTAATGCATTCATCTTCACTTTCAGATTGTGTATTCTCATCTTGCAGATGGTAAACTAGAATACAGAAGCTGAGGGACACCTCATCAAGACACACAGGAAATCTATGGCAAAGCCAAGAAATGTCCTGCGGAGTGCACTATTCTCCCGCTGCTGACCTCTAAGTATAAGGCTGGTTCTGCTCCCACCTTATTTTCACCTTACGTGGTTAACGATGTGTGCATTGGTATTTAGTTTGTTTTACAGTGCAGATGAGAGGCCGGCATAACATCATAGCCATATAACAAAGATGCATTATACTCTAAGCTTGGATTTACACAGGGACTTTAAAAACCCCTAAAAATTAGAACCCCTTCTTGAGATCCCAGTGCAGACGAGAGGCCGGCATAACATCATAGCCATATAAAAGATGCATTATACTCTAAGCTTGGATTTACACAGGGACTTTAAAAACCCCTAAAAATTAGAACCCCTTCTTGAGATCCTGTCTGCCACACAGCAGAAGGCATCCTCAGCATTTCTTTCACCTGTTTCCTGGTTCCTCTTCCCACAGCTGACCAGATCTCTCCTGCCTTTCAGAGCAAGCAAAGTTGTAGCACAGTGCAACAGCCCATAACCACAAGCCTCTTCTCTACTGCAGCCTCAAACCCAAACCCATCATGGAGGGGACAAGGGGAAACTTGGGGTGTTTCCCAAAGGTTATGACCACCCCCCACCTTGCAGGGGAAAGAAGTCACACTGCATTATTCAACTATTGTCTTACTTGGTCTGTGCCTAAAAAAACCCAGTCATCATTATCATAATGCCTTTTCACCAAAGGAATTTTATAGATGAACAGAAAAGTGGGAGACATTTGCAGAACCTGGGTACTAACAAGCAAGATCAAGCCCTCTAAGATTAGCGGACAAGAAAAGCATCTCAGAACATACCTACTTCTGTTGCACATGTTACCAACCACCTCACCATTTCCCGCCGTCGCCAATTCAGTGTTGACAGTGTCATCCGCATCACCTGTTAAAACAACACAAAATACAAATTAATCCTATTGCAAACCAAGGCAATATACCAACAAATAGGGATTTTAAGTTACTCAAACACGCTAAGGTTCAAAATGGCAGCCTCTTGCCCTCTCCACTCTGTTACCTCTTTTTTAGCTTATATGTCAAAAGATTTGCAAAATATTGTTCAGCTGTCTTAGAACAGTATGCAGAGAGTAATTCCAACTGCAGATCCTTCAAGGCTAGAGGAGGCTGTTTTATCCGTGGGGAAGAAAAAAAAAAAACACACCCCTACAAAAAAGTCCCCCCAAACAACAAAAACCCAATCAATTACCAATTATTCAAATTAAATTATATCATGTCTCCTCCCTCTATGCACAGTAGTATTTAAAGTGCAAATGTGTCAACTTTTTTGGGCAAACCCCTTAAATTTTTCCCTCATCTGCATTTCTCTTCGTTGACTTCAACAACACAGACAGGAGTTAGTATACTTGTGATTTGACTGGCTGCTTATTCTGCAAAGATATATACAATTCCAGATATACCTAGGTATTAAGTTCACAGAGATGATTTCTCTCTGAACAAGGACTCCCTGCAAGGAAGTTCCATCATAAAACCATCAGAATCCTAGAAAAAAGCACTTTGAGCTTTGATTGTAGCGCCCATATTTTACATCACTTGCAGTTATTGCCTATGTTGTTTCTCAAAACATGGGCAAATACATTATTCATTAAAACAAACACTGCATGGCAATTGCATGTAAAGCTCGCTTCAGTTACCTGGACAGACCCCACAGGTACCTAGATGAAGAAAGCAAGTAGTTTTCCCCTTACAGTATCAGTAATACTATGGTATTACTATTTGTAGCAATAAAATAAAGAGCATAATAGGTCAGAATTCTCCATGATGACCTTTACATATTAAACTCAACAAATGCACTCACAAAACAGCTTGGAGTCAGCAGCATTTGCAAGAGGGTTCTCAATCCATATCCCCTCCCAATCCTAAGGTGACTTCAAAGCAGCACGTAGCCCTCTGTCATATTTGTTAGTCCTACCACCTCCTTTAGTCCTGTGCTGTAGATAGGATAATTAAGATAGGAAGGCTGCTGAGGAGCACAAATGTACAGATGATCTTTAAGAAGTCTTTTGTGCTGGGTCCTGCACTTGGATCACAACAACCCCATACAACGCTACAGGCTTGGGGAGGAGTGGCTGGAAAGCTGCCTGGCCGAAAAGGACCTGGGGGTGTTCATCAACAGCCGGCTGAACATGAGCCAGCAGTGTGCCCACGTGGCCAAGAAGGCCAACAGCATCCTGGCTTGTATCAGGAATGGTGTGGCCAGCAGGAGCAGGGAAGTGATTGTCCCCCTGTACTCGGCGCTGGTGAAGTCGCACCTCGACTACTGTGCTCAGTGTTGGGCCCCTCAATACAAGAAGGACACTGAGGTGCTGGAGCGTGTCCAGAGGAGGGCAACAAAGCTGGTGAAGGGTCTGGAGCACAGGTCTTATGAGAAGTGGCTGAAGGAACTGGGGGTGTTTAGTCTGGAGAAGAGGAGGCTGAGGGGAGACCTTATTGCTCTCTACAACTACCTGAAAGGAGGTTGTAGTGAGGTGGGTGTTGGTCTCTTCTCCCAAGAAGTTAGTGACATGACGAGAGGAAATGGCCTCAAGCTGTGTCGGGGAGGTTTAGGTTGGAAATTAGGAAAAATTTCTTCACAGAAAGGGTAGTCAAGCATTGGAACAGGCTGCCCAGAGAGGTGGTGGAGTCACCATCCCCGGAGGTGTTCAAAAAATGGGTAGATGTGGTGCTTTGGGACATGGCTTAGTGAGCATGGTGGTGTCGGGTCGATGGTTGGACTGATGATCTTAGAGGTCCTTTCCAATCTTAATGATTCCTAGTTTTTATTTTCATTAAAAAATAATCCAGCCACCAAGCCAGG